ACCGATCAATAGTGCTACGGAGAATGTAAAATTCGTTTTAGAAGAATGTTCCTCATATTTATCGTACAATAGTAGTCATTTATGACAACGGGGTGGATCCCCAATAGTGTATATCATGTCTGCCATGCAGTAGAAAACTTACTTGCGACTGGTTTTGAACAGCTGTAAGCGGGCCCAGAGACCGTGTTGTACCACTCGGTTGCTACAACGCCGGTCACATGGACACTTGGCGTTGCACTCGTAAATTCCGCCGACAGTAAACTGAGCCAGACGACGATAGCGATAGCCAGCTTGTGAGTCAACCATGCCACTTGGATTGGTCAAAGAGCTAGCCTCCGCTATATAAAGAAGATTAGGTACCACGAAGAGGTCAATAAAACAAAACGCAACTGAGAATAGTGAGACTGAGAACGTACGTGACTGTCATAGGCTGGTTATCTAATAGAGGTATTGGGATTGAAAAATTACGTTTCAATGAAAAGAAATTATTTAACTACTTAGTTTTCGTGTCAATTTCTTAGGGAAAGCCTAATTATCCCTGAAGTTACCTGCAAAATAAATGGAAAATCGGTTTGGACAAACCGCCACCGTGGGAGATTGCTGGTGTTTTCTCTATATTACTGGATTCGTGGAATCGAAAGTAACGGACAGCATACTGTAATCTAACTGGTCCATTAGCTCCATCAGGGAAAAATAGAGCACGCTTTTTCATTACTGAAAGCATTTTTTGACTTTTCCAATCAACACGCGCACTATTTTGCAATTGTCTTTTGACTGGAATCGTTGGAAACGTCTAGTGAGACAAGATACAGTGACAGACTGGTAGACACAACGCAAATACTAATTTTAATGAGAACAAGCGGTATGATAATCACAGGATGTGTTAGATTCAACAACTTTATGGTAATTTTATCAGTTGTACACATACATTTAAATCACGTTTGGTTAAAATAGTGACAGGTTCGGGGACAGGCGAAAACACACGGGGAAGAGAACTCAATCAATACAGAGGCCAAAGGTCACTAATTCGAGCCGGAAATAGTTGAATCCAACACATTCCGTGATCATGATGTTTCTTTCTCTCATAAAAATGTTAAAAGGAACTGGATGCATGAAAAGGACTAGTTTACATCATCAGGATAGAAAATACAACTGACCAACTTGTCGAGAAAAACAAGTAGCGGTAGTACAACTAAATTACCCGACCCATGGACCCAAAACGATTAGGACCACTGTATTATTATTATTATTATTATTATTACTTATTGTCATTACTGGGACCAAGTTAAGGGTACCGCCACAGTGAGAGAAACATTTCAAAGGTATGGCAGAAGCAGTAGTAGTTTTGATAGATAAAAGTAATGGAACACGTACATGGTAAGCAGCACTATGACAACGAAATAGAACAGACTATTTCCATAAAATAGAAATATGATAAAATAAACTACAATAATCAAGTAATCAGAGGTCCGAGACTTGGTAATAATCGGTGATACCTTAGTCTCGCAATGGCTTGTGGGTAGAATAATATGTGGAAAAAACAAGAGAATCGTCATGTGAGGTCTAATACTATGGAAAACGGACTGATATTATCACGAATGTGAGATACCAAACTTACCGGTCAGTTGTTGACAAGCACATTTGTTCCGGTCACGACAGTTGTCAGTACAGTCACAACAAACAACGAAATTATCATCTTGGAGCAAAGGAACTTTATCGATCGGTTGACGTTTGGCTACATACTCAATGTATCCGGGTACTTCGTTGTCTACACTATTCACACATGGTACAGGAATATTTTCCTTGCCGTACGAGATATCCGCTATATTAGTAAGTGTCTGAAAAAAGGTGAATAACGGATTTGTAAATGTGAAAATATTGGAGTAGTTGCTTCAAAAATATTCTGATTTAACAGGTTACAAGTAAATCGGAGCAAGACGGTTAGATTGCGACGACTTTGCATCAAGCGGGTTGAACAATTACAAGTGATATTATTGGTGAGTCGGAACTCTTGGAACTGGATAAACTGGCGATTGCGAAAGGTATGGCGGTTTTATACGTCACACCGAATAGACAATACCGTCCGCTTCCATGGAATAACAACCATTCTCCAGTTATCCATCCCATATTGATATTGTGGAGACTATTTAGGATAATAAGTAATTCATCTTCAATGACGAAAAAAAGTAGAAATTAGTTACCTCAATATATAATAAATGTCTTTTATTTCCTTCTTTTTTTAATGAATATACAAATGTACAGTCAACTTTCAGGAAGGGGGCTGCGGTCATACAAAGGCTACCTGGGGGAATACAGAAATGGGGAAGAGGGGCGGTGGTGGAGCGATTCGAACCCGGGACTTCTGGATCACAATTTGGTGATCTAACCACTTGGCTACCACCACTTATGGAAATCATTACCACTGATTTAGAACCAACTGTTGAATTTACTGAACATTCACATTCGAACTGAAGTGCGTGATAAATTTTAGTTCACATACCGATAATTTACGAAGAAAACGAAATCGGGCTCCGGATTTCACCGAGTTAAGCGCACACTTGGTAATCGAGCCGAATTGTGGATGATTTGATTGTTACAAACACGATATGGTCGGGATCCAAAGATTAGCATCACATGGTTTGTCGTGTGCAGACGTTAGTACCCAAACAGATTCGATAATCTAGCGCGTATGTCCACTCGTGTAGTGCTTTTGGACCATAAGATTATCTCTAAGTTTGAATTCATTTTATACAACCATTAACCGGTCATGTAGGTGTCACGCCTGCTGTTACCATTGAACTCCTCCAGCGAACTTGGTCTAGAAACTCAGTAAAGGTTTAGGCGCTATCTGCAAATGGCAGAATCTGATTACGAAGAGGACAACCATTAGTTGCATAATTTAAGTTTTTTCTGAACATTACTGTAAACTGGGACACTCGCATGAAATCAAGCAGACTGGTCATAAAAANTTCCAACGAAAAGGGTTGACCGAAAACATTGCAGTTAATTCAATGGGAAACCGAGATATCTGAGTGACTGTGGCGACTGTCGAGACAGTATCGAGTAGAGCTTGGTTAACAGTTATTCCCTAGTACTAAGCAACATTTTTCAACAAAAAACTGTTTACGTACTACAATGACTGTCCGCTGGAGACGACTAAACAGACTTAGTGAGCCTAGTTTAAGTAGTATAGTCCAGAAAAGTGGTAGGGTGCCGTTTCAGATACGGGCAAATGAGCTAAAGTGACTCGGGTTTACAATTTAGCAATCAAGACGACAGTGTTGCAGCCTCTCAACTAATCGAAGAAGAATAAAATGTGCCTGGTTTAATATGGACCAGAGAAAGACTCTCGCGGAAATCAAAACGGGCCATGCTTTAACGGGAATTCATCAACTATCAAGTGGCACAGTCCTTAGGCCAATTCATTTATTCCCAATGACAAGCCAGAAATAGAGTTTCATAAAGCAGTTATCAAAGACATTTATAATAATAGGTTGTTCTTCCCGTGGTTTCAGTTTCACATTAGGAAACCATCTTCAATCCTAATAAGATGATAATAACAATCATTATTATTATGAAAAGCAGTATGCTGAAAGATAGACAGCAGAGGTAGCAGTAAGTGAACAACCTCTTCCACAATACCAGATATGGGATAAAGAACACAACGTCTCGCAAATGAAAACCACAGGTACACAAGGAACACTTACTTTTTCCGCACGGAACTCGCTGTTGATGACAACGGACGGGTCGAAACAGAACAAATCAGTGGTTAGTTGACTATTGGTCCGATCGAGAAACCGTTGAACTTCATGCATGGAACGAAGCTGTCGCCCACATGGTGCACGATATACGATCATTTGACGTTCGTTTTCACGTGGATGGCCAACCAACAGATAACTGTTGATGTGAAGAGCAACGAGATAGAAACATACAGTTCACCAATCAGCACTGATGCTCGCTGGGGTCAAAATACGATGGTCCATCAGATGTGAAAAAGAATGTCATTTCGGTCAATAAGTATAAAAGAAAAGCAGTTCATTTGTGTCTACTACGAACAAGATCCCCAAAATGTGTTCAACTTAGCTTCTAGATGACAAAGTGCAGAAAATTCGAAGAAGCAATCATGATCTAGTCTTGTGACTCACCAACTCCACATCTAACTGGTGAGACAAATAAATCGAAGGCCAAACTGAAGGGATCCTGATTGCACAATGTGACACTAATTTGGCAGGATGAAAAGTCCAGGATTTAGTGTACAACCAGTAAGATCCTGTGAGCCTTCACAAACAACTCAATTGCAGCCTTTTCGTTGCATGTGTGTACATTGTCATATACGACAGTGTCAACAGCTAAAGGAATGATCTGAATGGGGACGAAAAATTACTGTGTGATGAAGCCTGAACACCATATCACGAGATCACGATGGTAGATGGCCGATTATTGGTGACATATAACCTACTGCATTATTAATCCATTCAGGTGTGTATTTACTGCCGTCTGCATGTTATCGGATGACTGAAGGTGCTTCGGTGTGGCTTTGGAAGCCGAAGGCGAGCGAACACAGTGATGACATCCCTAGATAAATGGAAACATCTATTGTGCTAACCCTCAAAGAAGCATATAGGATGTGGTACTCCGATCACGTTGAAATTGATCAACTTTGCCGGGACACTGGGAATCAATCAAAACCAATTCAAACCGTACAAACACCAAAAATAGCTGGTTACTAGAACATTGTTTTAGTGATCGACCGCTTTCGGTGCCAGCAAAAGCATGCAATTCCTATGGCCTATTCATTATGTGTTGTCAATATGAAACACTGCATTCACTTCGGTTAGTATGTGTAAACATGCAGGAAAATTATCCCAGATATATTCGGCGAACCAATGTTAATGGATCAACATTTAAATTAGTGAAGGGAACAAACTATTTCGAATTTACTTCTCGGAAGGGTTTTGATGAGTGTCAAATATCTACCTTGCAGGGCAGCGAAGTGGAAATCACTTTGTAACAGCTTCAAAACTCTTGATTTGAAAGGTCTAAACTCTTTCACATCGTCTGGAAAACATGGAAACAAATCTATATTCGACAGTTTGGGTTCTGAAAAATCATGATATACCGTACTTTGAGCAAGCGCAGCAAAGAAAAACACCTAAATAAAACGAATGGAGAAACGGTTAATCGGATTTATGATTTTGGGGAAACCGAGTGTACCATTTACTACTTAATCATAATAGTAACTATTATTATATTGTATCAAGCTCTCAACTTGAAAAGACCCCTTAAAAACGAAAGTATAAACCTAGGAAATACCTCTTTAAAAATAAAACTTCAATGCTTACCGTAGCCAACCTGCGTGAAAGGGAATCTCCAGAGGATTTAAACCTTTGTAATCGAACGGATTCTCTGATACTGGTGCGGTTGAAGACGGTTTTGTATACGTCAAACAGGATGGATAGCACTTATGAGTGACTGTCGGGGAGTGAGAAAAATAGAAATGATAGGAACGTTTTGCGTATGCATCAGTGACTTCCATGAGCGTACGGAACCAGCTTGACACCATCAGTAAGCAGGAAAATGATTTACGTTGTGGTGAAATTGTTACCAGATGAAATTCACTAAAGTGAATCAAGTGAACTACAAAAGGAAAGACAAAAGTGAACACCCATTGGGGATCAGCGGTGAAAAAAATGAAAACAACAATGTCACTTCGTGATCAAACGAAATCCGAAAGGACATACTGACAGTCGTTTGCTGCTACCTGACATCATTATCAGTAAGCACATTAACAAACAATAAGATAGTGATAAGAACACCGCTGCTGTAAGTTTTTGCTCAAATGACGACGATAACCTGATGTGGGAATAATTGGTCAATGTAATCGTAGCAATAGGTGCAGAGCAACATACTACCCTTCCCCCTGGTAGAAAACGTGTTTGGTGAAGAGAGTTCGTAATCAATAACTGCAACTGACAGGCACGTTTCGGTAAGGGCAACGATATCCCAGTGATCGTACCGGAAACGCCACTTGAGTTCGGAGAATATACCGAGGGATCCTTGTGCATGAGTGCAGCACCAGCTCAGGTGTCGATGTAGAAATTCTATTGTTTGAGAAATGGTATATTTGCCGACTACATCGCGGTCGGCTAATAATCGCTTTTAGAGGAGGTGGGGTGCTCTGGTACTTTGGTCTTCCGATGAAAGCGCATTGATAGTATTTTCTAACTGTGGACTGTTTTGGGATCTGACCTGAAGGCATATCCTCCGTCTTCTCTCTGGTTGGGTTCAGAGATCCTACCGCTCTCGTGAGGCGCTCTTCCGGAGCTCTTCAGAATTGCGCTGGGTACCGCAGTCTGGGCATGTTCGCGTTGTACTCCCTCGTTCACTGGACCGTTACGGTTTCCGCTCGTGGTGTCCTACTGCGTGCTCCTTGGGCTCACGGATCAAACTATTCCGCTCGTATCGTTTATTCGAACGTTACAACGTGCTTTTTTTCTGTCTTGGTGTGTTGTAACATTAGAAACACTAGTCCTCCTTACAAGAGTCCAACCGATTGCAATTTGAGTCATCACTAGCAGTTTCTCAGCTAGAAAATGTTCAACAATAGGAAACGTCTATCCGATGAACGCATACAAAAAGGAGAAGGGCGAACCACCTTGTAGCAATTTAGGCTCACTGTCAAATTTAAGAAAGACAACAGAAAATCGTTTGTGGAAAGCCTAGTTTTTTGACCGTTTCAGAACAAATGGAAGTCAGAAGGGAACTGACAGACAATGAAGCCTCGTTATCGATCCAAGAAATCCTTTCATACAAGGGAATCCCTCAGAATATTCCTTGAGAAGTTCTGATCCCTGTGTTTTCTTTATGAGGGCATTTCTATTTAAGTGAGTGAGTGGAAAATAGCCGCGGCAATAGTGCGGTTGGTGAACCATAGGCATTTACTCCTTCAGAGGTGAATAACCCTGATCCGAAACTAACCAAGAAGAGGCGAAAAAACCGGACCCAGGACATTCTCTTAGCATTGACCATTTGCTCAATCGAGTGGTAGCGTGAGCTGCAAAGCCCCAAGACATTTCACCTGTTTCGGCCTGGGGCCAACAGGCAGTATACCTCCCACAAGCAAATCCTGAACCGATTTCTTTGTTATAAGGATTATTGTACCATGATATTTCATGTGAGTAATGGAGGATTTGATTAAACTTCAAATGGGAATTCGTCGTGTCTATGGCAAATGAAGCATGAACTGAAAAGCTAGGAAGCGCTGGACAGTTGTTTCGACCTGGCTAGGTCTCATCAGCAGTGCGAATTCAGCGACCCAACTGGGGATCGAACCCGGAGCTTCATGGGCAGAACGAAAGTATGCTACCCACTACGCCACCGAGCAGATGATCGGACCGTTTTTTCATTTTCCATTCACACGATATAGCATAACCCACCTTTGCGAGCTTGTTGCGGGCCACAGACCTTGCTCATCTCAGCACCAGCCTCCAGGGTTATGACTCGTTTGGAAACATTCACAACCTGATTACTTATATCATGATGCCAAATTCAAATTTCAAACTTTTATTATGGGATATAACTTACAAAGACTTTGCTTTTTCAAATCCCATAGGGTGTTTACACTTTGTTTCGGATCACGATTCACAATATCACAGTTAGTCCATGGAAGTAAAGTAGT